AACATGCTTTTTTATAATGCTCATGCATTTATTTGTTAGTTCCGTATTGAACCAATTTTTGTCGAGTATAATAATTATTGCATTAATCAATTAAATATAATTACTGCAGGTCACGACTTATTAGGTCCCAAGTTTTCGACATTAATGGCTTGGAATTTGAACTGATGGCATTTTAGTGGTGTTCTTGAGGAATTATTTCTAATCATACAATTAAGTACATCATGTATTCAAGACATAAATATTCGATAATTTACAAAACTAATTTCATATAATATATTTATACTTTATAAGTGCAATATTTTTTTTCAATTTCATTCAAAATAATATCGAATACATTTTACAATAAAATTATTATTACAAAGTTAAGTTAATATAAAACAATTTGCTTAATAATTTTTAAGTAAAATGTTCGTAATTTTGACAATTAATAAAGGTCTCGGCTAATTAGTATTGTATAATGGTAATTCGTTCAGACAAATTTGGATTCGATTACAATTTGCAAATGTTCTCTATATATTACTATAAATACATATCAAAATAACTAGAACAGTTTGTTTTATATTTTAAAATTAACATGGTTTTTAAAAAAGATTATTTTATACATTCTAAATTAGGTAGTTGATTGTATGTTACAATTGTGTACCAAATAAGATTAAATCAATTAATAAATTAGTAATTACTATAATTGTGTACAATAAGTATCTGTTCGGGGTATATGAAGAAGATAAAACAAACCGTGCATATATTAAACAATCCGACAACTAATATAACATTTTTTTTTTTACACACAGTTATAAGGGTTTATTTTTTAACTTGTGAAACTCTTAAATACTGAACAGGTTGACAAATAATAAACTTTTTTTTCAATACAGGTGCAATTGTTCATTTTAACATATAAAACACTTTTATTAGTTCTTGTATAATTCTATAATATATATATATATATATATTATTGTTTAAGTGACTTACATGTCCTCGATATAGACCTTCTTGTCGAAAACGATGTCAATGGAAGTCGGACACATTTGAAGTTCAATGGCAAATAGCGTGAACCTCACCTAACAGTTTTTTTATTAAACCAACGCTGAAATAATGACAATATTAATAACTCTGCTATCGGGTTTATATAAATAATTTATTCCGTCATCGATATTCTCGTTTTTGATTATTTCTATGGGTTTTGTTGGTACGTGAACACGATTTCTGTGATCGGCATGACGTAGGTACAGCTCCCTCCCGTCTCAGTCGAAACGATGATGATCAAGACACAGAGCATGCGAGCACCAGATAACCGGTTTGGCCTCCGATCATATACATAATAATATATTACATACCTACTTTATATTACAATATAAGGGTTTTTGCAGAGTCTTTCCGCCAGCAGTGGTCGTACTTTTCGTTCGGCCATATAGTCACATACATCGTGAGTCCCAGTTAAAATAGATTTCGAACTATTTTCAATGAGATGATTGTTGTTGATTTGGTTTGAATCCCTCCGATTAAAATGCCGACATCGAGATAACCCATGATTTCTAGTTGTTGTTGTTTTTTTTGTCAGGTGATTTTGGAGGGATTGTTAGGCACAAGCAAGCTGTTATACTTTTAATTGTCTTTCGATTTTTCAATTTATTTTTATGTAAATTAGAATTTAACAATGTGAATATAGTGCTAAAATACTTAGTCGGCTGAGAAATATACGATACCGGAACGATACGAAGAACTTCTGGGAAGAACTTCGTAAATACACAGTTTTGGTTGAGTGCTTGTAAAATATCAACGCGAATACGTACTTACGTGCAAATACGCTACTTTCATTTGATTTTTTTTTTTTTTGAAATCGAAAAACAATAGTACATACTAACCTAGGACGTGCAAAAGACACCAACTTTTATTTTGAAAAATAATATTAGTTCGTAGAGGTAATGACGAGTGACGACAATAACAACTTGTTATTATTATATTATTCGCCAAATGTTGTATGCTAATTATAAAATTTACCATATTATCACACCATCACCACGTATTGATTTCAAGGTTTCTGAGGATGGTTCAGCGAAGTTAATCGATATTATATTTCTTCGAAATTTGAGAGAGCATATAATAATGTTATACGTTGTTATTGATGTTATTAATATTATTTAAAAAATAATGATAAGATCGATTCACAAAAAATAACTATAATAGTATATAAGTTTATAATTTATTGTTTGTTTCTTCAGGTGGTTGATTATATTATATGGTACTCGGAATGCGGATCAAAAAAAGCAATATTTGCGAGCAGTGTGAAATACGTGTTGCGACTTGTGACATAGATGGTGCCAATCCGAACCCGCGAACCGCTGTAATTCCGAAAACTTTTCATGTACAGTGCAATAAATGTATGTTTTTTTTTTCAAAAATAATATTCGAATTCCAATGGATGTTAAATGTTAACACATATGCTTGAGATCGTTTTTAAAAAGCAATTCGACCGGTTTCCTCGACAATTATAAAAATCACAGTAATATATACTGTGTTTTGACGTACCGGCGCATTATAATATTATAGGCAGGCATATGGGATGTGTTTAATATACACTGTAAATTATAATATCTAAGGCGAATACAATAATATCGAGTGCGACTGTGAGTGACATCGATGGTCCGCAGAAACATGGCCCCGGGTATTAAATGGGTATAAACCATAAAATGTGTAAAACGAATAAAAACAGATTATTTTTCACGTGCTTAATGGCATACATCATTCGTAAAAATTAAAGTAAATTATAGTAGTTAGTTTGCAGTAGCTTTAAGTATCGTGTGTAGTTTTTTTCCGTACAAGACACGTATTTTACCGATTGGTTTTTACGTTGTTTGCATATCAACTGTTATAATTTGGCTTATTATATTGGTTGGAAGCACATGAAAACTATTATCACAGATTATTTATCCGGAATTATTTAAGCGTAGACTTATAATAGAAAACTACTGAAGTGTGGCATGTTATGTGAAAATAGATAACTCTGTTCCTGTATAATATTTTATGTTCATACGACAGTTGAGCACTTAAATGGTCTGAAAAAAAAAACTTCAGATGATAATTTAAAATGTACATTGTCGGCATTTAGTTATAAAATAATCATTAATTTAGAAAAACTGTAAATTCATTGAGAACGTGAGCTTAGAACTTATAATAGTGATTGACGTATATTGGTATTGCAGTTTCAAGGGGAAGTGCGGCGCATATTATTATTTTATTTCACACATTTTGTCTCGCAATCCATGTTACCGTTTTCGTCGATAGGATTTAGATATAATGTGACGTCGTCGCATTTGATTTGAGATCTCACGCCGGACACGAAACCGATTTTGCAAATAAAACCTTTTATTTTTGACATCTGATACTTGATGTGATAGTTCTTACAGCTTGGACTTATGATACTGAACGGAATGCCATAGTGTATCGAATAGACTAAAACATTTGTCGTGCGTGTCCTAATGACATATCTGTTCGTGAACACGCTTATTACATCGTGTAAGATTTCGTTGTTGATGAAACTCTTGTAAATAGCCTTAGTGAAGTCTTGATCGGAAATATCAAGTTCGGTGCCAGAAAGCGATGTTATTCTTTTATTGTCATACAAAACCTCATTACCGAATATGACACAACTCGTAGTGTTGATACACACATCATCCCATCCGGAATCTATGTGACTGTATTCGGAGGGAAGAAACTCGACCGTTTCTGCTTCGTTCAGTACGAATATTTCTTTGTTTTTAAAAAAGTTAGAAATAAAAGAACAGTCTTCCGATCCGACAGTAAATGTAATGTTGGCAAAAATTAAAGCCACACAGGCAACGAAGCGGTTCACAAAAACCATTGCAATCGATATTTATTATACGTCAGATGCTGTTACAGAAACACGATATTTTTTTTATTAATTTTTTGTTTAGATAAACCAGCGTGAATTAGAATTTAAACGCTTGAAACTTCGCGTAAGCGAGTTAAGTCGTCAAGCTTATAGAACACCGATTCCAAAGTTATTTGTTCAAGTCATATGACTTTCGTCGGACTATAAACGAGCATCACAGTATCAAATCGTATTATATTATTATAATACTTACGGTCGGTTCGCGCCTCTGAAAGTCCGTTTGATTGTAAGTCCAAACGTTGGAGATTCAATGGTGGAACGACGTCGCATTAGGTTCGTACAGTATTATATTCGACGTGCAAAGTGTGGTTATTAAACGAAATGTAAAATAAAAACGTGATCCACAGGTAAAATATATTACATTAGTGACGCCTCACATGACCTCAACAGACTAAATTAAGTAGATGTCTATAATAACTGCACTGATCACAACGCTGCGTTTCAGAACTGGCTTCTGGATTCTGAGAAGGAGAATTTTTCCGCGTCAATATTATGATAAAATTGTATACCAATTACACTAACGAGTCTGTGCAGTAGGGGTTCGCAACGGTCCACGCCACCAGCATTGCACTGCGCAGGCGCCGTGAAATACGACCGACTGGGCGCACGTTGTAATTGTTATTTATTATCAATATTATTATTATTATTTACCCGATACCGTCTTGGAGACTTGAATAGTTCTCATTTAATATAAGCACGGGGACTTGCGGTTTTCAAAGTTAACCGCGTATAATGTATATACAATAATTAAAAGGCACTCTACTCGTGTTTAAATCCAAACCTTTATTTTCTTGAACTGTAAGGGAGAAGATTCTTCTTATTTGCTTAATAATATAATATTACAAGGCGATTCACCCAAATGTATCACCCCTACGCACATCATTATTTTCTTTTAATAATTAATTTGTTAAGATTTTGTTTTTTTTTGGAAATCATAAGTACGAGTAGGTATACTTAAAAGACCATATTTTCAAAGAAAATATTCTAGATTCACATGCTTTTGTAAAACAATTTTTAAGAAATATTATTCTTAGTGTATTGTAAATATTAATAAATTGGAAAACACTCATTGAAATTTACTATTTAGTTTCAGAATCATCAAATTTTGAAAAATAAAAATCGTCTACTTAACAACATACAGTTAAAAAGTTTGGTTTCTACTTGAAAAAAATTGAATGTTTGTATTTTCACAGCAATGGGCTACCTATTCCATACATATTATCCTGTTTTAATATATTGTATTTAATTATAGGTTGTTCCAATTTCTCAATTTCAACATTTGAACACATACATTATATACAAAAAAATCAGCTGTGAATAGTGAGCATGCTTGGTGAATCCTGTCTATAAACATTAAAATATTATTATATTCATAAATATGCTGCATTGAGGATTCCAAAAATCAAAGTCACCACACCACTCGCACAATTATAGCGCATGCGGCGTCAGTGGCGTTCGTAGGATTTTTTAAGGGGGGTGTCATACTTCATAATAATATACACAAATTTATCTTTTTTTTGTATTTTTGCTCGTCACTAAAAAATCATCTACCATTATGTTATGATAGAATAGTCAATACAAATAAAATAAAATAAAACATTTATACATCTATATACATAAAAATGGAGTCAAAAATCTATAACAATTCATCAACTGAGAACTGCTGGGCCGATTTGGCTCAACATTTTTTTTAATTGTTAACTGTAATTTCCAGTAGAAGGGTTTTAGGAAAAAAATTTTGGTCAAAAATCTAATAATATGGATAATGGGCTCTTTAACTATATTATCATGCGGATATTGTTTTACTTATGTTGATTTAAGTATTAACGTACCATATAACAGAGCATACATTAAACAATATAAGAAAAATTTTGAACGTTGCTCATTAAAATAAAATCCAGTATAAAATTTATGTTCAACAATGCTAAAATCTATAATATTATCCTGGATTCACAATATACGTACATCAGTCAGCCTAAATAACAATTTAACAATACCTATTTATTATGTACTATCTTTGAATAAATTCAAACAGCAGAAATGTGTGTACGTCTAGCAATGTCTAGTTAATGTTAGTTTAACTTATTAAATAAAAATATATAGTTGATGGGGAGGAAATAGCTCTGTTGATGAATAATAAATGTAAATAAATAAATCTGCAGCACAGTTCAATTGCAGCAGCCATCAGGTTCATATCCTTGTTGTTGAATACTGTCGAAAGTTGGAGACGAATTCGAATTAATTAATAAAATCAATCTGCTTACACATTATAACATGGATGTAGTGTAGGTACTTTTTTATTTATACAAACCTTGCTCGGCGCCAACAACCGTCCCTCGGGATCGAATATATTTTCTAGATCTTGAAGTCGTTATTCAGAACGTACAATATTTTCGTTTGCATACTTACGTATAGAATTTAGACAATAATAAACTTTTTTTCGATATCATATTTTTGAGAGCTGTATAATTGTAGCTAATATAATAAATTTGATGTATTATTATTATGTTTAATAGTCACATTTAATTTTTTTCTCGTGAACTAAGACTAAAATAGTAAACAGCTGTCTTAAATTATTGTCTTAACATACTAACAATTTACAAAAAATAATAAACTCATGTTACTATACGTACATAAAATCCTCTATACATATAAACATTTTATTGTTATTAATTACAACGGCTGCAAAGGCCATTGTAATTACAATAATTTAAATATATACAGTTCTATAATAGTAGGGAGCTGTGTTGCGATAATTATCATCTAAATTTGGTTGAAAAGGTGTGTTTTTCTTAAGAAGATGATCATGTTGTTGATGTCTTTAAGTATATTTTGTTTCTGAACTACGACACTTTTTTTATTTTGAGTTTCTTATTTTGAAGCAACACGTTTTTCTGTAATAAGTAATTCCATATTCGCCTAAAAAGTGTTTACATTTACAACGAATAACGATGATCATCAAAATATAAAATATATCATGCGCTCATTGAAAAATAATCACACAAAATGTTAATGTTTGTTCAGAAACAGTTCAAATATGATTGAACAACATTACTATAAGTATGATGTCAATAATTGGTACCTATAAGCGATGAGTGATGACGTTAAAGTGAAGGTCAGAACTATAATATGTTTTTTACATTTTGTATATTTTGTTGTTGCAATAAACATATTATTATTATTATCAATACTTTTATATACTATTGTGTTGAAGACTTCTGGTTTTTTTTTCATATAACAAAGGTGGCATAAAATAAACACATAACACATTAAATAATATAAATATTTTTTAACTATTAATAATATGACAATGATTTACATGTTTTGGCAAATTCTAAGTATAATTATAATATATTTGTTTGTCCTATATTATAATAGTGGGTAATATTTGTAATAATTTATTGAATTACACGTTGATAGAAATTAATATTTTGTTAAAATATAACTTTTGAAATCAGTGCAAAATAAATAAATAATATGAAATAAGCAAATAGATTCTAATAGAGGAACAAAATATGTAAGACTTTTAAAAGTATAAGAGCAGTGAAGTTATCCAGTAATAGGACCATTAACAATATATAAATAGCAATATTAATATAAAGACGATATGATATTATAAAATGGTAATTAAATACCTATACGAGTACATAATATACGGTATAAGTAATTGTACTCTTAAATAAAATTAAAAACGTACACGGCCGAAACGCTATCGGCGAAACAATGCACTTTATCGGCTGCCGAAAATAGATATAATAGAAAATTCACCAGAGTCTACGGGGGAGGAGCATGGCCCCTTGCCCCTACCTCCCTTGTATCCGCGCCTACTGATTAGTGAAACATAACATAAAGTTTTAACCAAACTCTCGGAAACGTCAAATGTTTGAACACTATTATAGTATAGCTTTAGCTTACACATTTTACTGCGTTAAGGAGAGCAATGCAAAAGAGAATCGTGTTTTCAATAATGTAGACTATTTTCCAATTTTTCATGAGGGTGGAGGATTCAAAATTATTTTACAGCTTACCAATATTCACCACTCGTCTATTGATACATAATATTCCGAACTATCGAATTCATGCAACAAAATATATAATAATAATCTACCTATATTAAAGCGATACATAACTTTTTAAAAACGTTATAAATGTAAGTCAGTTCAAATTTTCACAGAAAGTCTTGCAGGAAGAAACAAAAATTAAATCTTGCACTTTGTTTCGATTTCAAGTTTACCAGTTTCGTCAATAGGCAGTAAACTGAATGTGATAGTTTCACATTTGATGTTATACCGCACGCCAGACACGTAAGAAGTCTTACAAATCATTCCTTTTATTATTGATTTTATGAATCGTATTTGATCAATCTCACATTTTGTATGATCAATTTCAACATCAACGCCAAATTTGAATGTGAACACCCTTACGTTGTTGGAGCCAATTCTGACCACATATCTATTTGAAAAAACACTTATTACGTCGTGTAATCGTTCGTCATTGGTGAGACTTTTGTAAACGGCGTTCATCAAATCGTCGTTACTAATTTTCAATTCGGTGTCTGAGAGTGTCTCCACGTCCTTATCTTTGTATGTGATGAGGTTAGGGTATACAGTTGTATTTCCAAAATCCAATGGAAAGAATCCAAAACTTGTAGTCTTATATTCGATTGGAAGAAACTCTACTGATTCCTCTGATTTAAGAGCGATTAAATTTTTTTTCACAAAAAAATTTGTTATATAATTACAATTTTCAGATCTGACAAGAAATTGTAAGCTTATAAAGATTAAAACTGAACAAAAATATTTTAGAAAAATCATTATTAAATATTATTACGCACCTACTTTTAAAATTGAGTCTTAACGTAACGAAATATGATTGTTTTATTGTTGTTTTTAATACAAGTATTGATAAAATTAGTTTTCACTTATTGACTCTGGCAATATATTAATAGTGTCGTTCAGTTATAGACGAAATTAAGATTATAATGGTTGAGTGACATAACTCAATGGAACTGTTCATATAAAATTTTCCTTTCTGTATTTTTTTTTATAATACCATATAATATTCTGTCGATTACATTTTCATCGGATCCCGATTATTTAATATTATTAAAAACACTCTATTCCAATTAAATTGTATCCAAAACCTGATATTGACTTCCGTGTTCAGCAATCGGTTTGTGTTCTGATTTTGATTCCATCGATTTCAAAACTGTCTGCAATAAATTTTTTTGTGTTAATTTTTATTTAGAAATTAATCAATGTCTTATCCATTTTGATATAATGTATTTGATACAGCTGTACATTGTTCTGTTCGTGTTTCGTACAAATTAAAAAAAAACCTCATTCCTATTCTCAAAGTTTATTCAAAGTACAATACAAGTATAATTATTGTGTAGTAAATTAATTTGTTACACATATGTGTGCAGTTTACCAATGAAAAATATGTATATAGATGTTGCAATCGGCAATACAATATAATATTGATATCCCAAAAGGCACTAATACCAATATTTTACTCTATGCAAAGCTGTACCAAAGACAAGCATTTTTATATTTTATTTGATATATTTTTCACATTTTGAATTTATTACATTCGTATCTACAATAGTTTGTATTGGCCATTCTAACAGTATATCTATTTGGGAAAACAATTATTAGATCGTTTAGTCACTATTCGATTTTATTAAATTTTGTATCAGATAGAGGTTATAGTTAATTCTTATTACCTATTAGTCATTTTATTATTAGAATATAGACCATTGTCGTAATCGCATTTATATATTTTCACACAAAATCCAAATATTTTTGCCTGCGTGTAAGAAACCCTGCCGAACACGGATTCCGTTGCGTTAAATACGAACAATTTTTTTGTTGTATTACAATTTAATTCAAATTAAATTACGATCATTCGGTACAACATAAACAACACACAATTTAAAAAAATATTTAAATAAGCTAAAAATTATTTTATGTTTAGAAAAAAAAGTTTAATCTTCTTTGCCTATAATTGTTTCTTACACTCGCATTAGATTACATTAAAATAGATATTTGTTATGATTGCATACAATTACAAATATAGGTAGGTTGTAGGCATGTAAATAGTTTGGTCCCCTGTCTGCAGTATTATTATTTTTAGTAAAAAAAACGATGGCGGAGCTGTTGGCGGTAAGCGCAAGCAATTCCGGCAGCGGTGTCGTTAATACGAAAAAAAAGGTATATAAACAGTTTAACAAATATCACTTTTTTGTCCTAACGGGTAAATTTCATGGTGAATTTAGTTTTACTTTGAAAACAGAACAGCGCTAGCTCCTAAACTGATAATATCTTATAAAAAGTATAACAGCAATAAGTACTTACAGTTGGGTACGTGTTGTCCTTGAAAGTTCTTCCAAGTGTTTGATACTGTCGAGAGAAAAGTCTGATATTTGAATACCTATTTAAATTTCATCGGAAAATCACAGACCAGCTTACCGGTGTAACTTGGATATTTACTAAACCAACACCAATAACTAAATATTCTTGGTAATGGTATTTACAACCAAACACGACTGTGGCTACTTCAGGCTTTATTTTGATTGGGTTTTCTGCGCAATAATTACACTAACGTCTTCGTGTGCCTTCGATATAAAATACCTGGGTATACCTACAATCATCATTTTTCTAAACCTCGGACCGGCTGGGGGGGGAAAACCATTATCGCCGGGTACAAGGTCAAGTCAATATTCAAATATTGCTGTGTACTATGATTTAAATAACAGGTTTTTGGCGTTTAACGAGTACGCTTGTATGCAGACGTATATGAGCATTGATTAGGTGTACACAACAATTGCAATGGTGCAAGGTAGGTTATCGTAAATTATTGTTGCCATAAACATTGTTGTTTTTGTTTTGAGGTGGAGGAGAACTGTTGAAGTGCAAAAGTCAACGTTTGGTTTATGCTACAGGTTTACGGGTTTGTACGATGGATTTTTGCAAAAACTGTAAACTAGATAATAAAAAATATTTTGGTATAAGTATAACGAGTAGGTACATAATATTAACATACATTCATATTGTTTATTATTGGTTTATTATAATATTATTATCATATGGTGTTGGCGTGTTGTGTATCTAACCATTCTTTATTTCTTTATCTTCGGGCAAATATATAATTATAATTTATTACATATTATAATCCTGCGTTACTTTCTTTGGTGATGAATGATAGGGCGAATTGGCGAAATTTGAAAGCTGATCTGATTCTAACAGACAGCCTGTTTGCAGTCTTGGTAAGTCGTATTCGAATACATCTCTAGTGAGCCCCAGACGAAAAGTCTAATTTGAAAAAAGCCGGACTCTTTTTTGACTGTCTGACAAAAAATCCAAGAAAATATTATGTTATTCAATTGACAAGACTAAAATGTTTGATTCTAAAAAATATAACTTGTATGTTATAAATAATAAAGAGCCAACTGATAAAATAATTTATTATCAATGTTTGTAATGTGTAATCAGCAATCAATAAGTAATTCATAAAAAAATGTAATTATGTTTTTTTTTCATTTAAATATTTGATCGAGATGGAAATTTTCAACTTTAAAAATATTTTAAATTCAAAACACTAATCAATAATGTGATTTTTCTATAATAAAGGCTGTATCCGCCAAAAATACGAACCACTTGTTACCCGCGCCGGCATACCATATATGATCGAGTCTCTACTGAGTCTACAACACACAAGTGACCATCCATTGTCGCACCATTTTTTATGTGCGATTAACTTACTTAACTTGGGAGGAACAAAAAAGGTGTGATATAATGTATAAACAGTATTTTTTAATTTTTGTATAATTAACAGGGTATAATATGTTATATAGAATAGTTGTTTTTATTCTAAATTTTTGTTTTGTTTTTAATTAATTGAAATGTTGTTTTCATTTTGTTTACATAGGTAATGCATTTCAAATAATAAATATTTGATAAACTGTAAAATATTTTTTAAATATAATATGTATATTCTAATTTATATACATAATTTATATTATTATTTGATAAAGTATTATTCAAATTAACATGGTATAAGAATAATATTACACAATATATTTGAATTTATGATCAGCTGAATATTTTGTTACTTGTGCGTTAGTTTTACGTCTGTTATCGCATTTTGTCTCACCGTCGAGTTTACCATTTTCGACGATTGGAATTAAAAACAACGTGATAATATCACATTTGATCTTATTTCTTCCGTCGGAGGAGGAAAATCTACTCACACATATCACACCTTTTATTTTTGACAGATACGATTTATACTGAAATGCATTTGTATCGCATTTCGGACTTGCTATAGAAACATCGAAACCGATTTTTATCGTGAAGATGATCAATTTTTCGGAATTTGTCCTGACGACGTACCTGTTGGGAAACACGATTATTACGTCATTCAAAAGCGTGTTGCCGACTAAACTGTTGTAAATCGCGTTGGTCAACTCATCGTCCTTTATTTGTAAATCGGTCTTCGAAAGCGACGTTATCCTCTCGTTTCCATAAAGAATCTCGTTGGCGGTAGTGCAGTTTCCGGTCGGACAAGAGTTTTCCCATTCGGCTTTTATGTAACTGTAATTGGTGGGAAGAAACGTGACCGAATCGGTTGCGTTTAGCGTGTACAGCCTATTGTTCGTGAGAAAATCCGTGACATAATTACAGCTCTCCGATCGGACGGACATCACTGCAAAACTGACGAAAACCAAAACCAAACTGGAAACCGAATCGCTCAAGAAAACCGCCATCGTCTTAAGCATGTAAATCGGGATTCGCCTGGATGGGATTTTTTGTATAGTCGCGATCCCGATTTCAAATCAATGGCATCATCGATGGAGTATCTGCAGTTAGTGCGTATCAGGCGTGCCACAACAATTAATAAACCGGTAACAATAAAAATATATTATGCTATAAATTAAACGATGTTATAATTAAAATAAAATTCTGATGGCGGGTATCGCATATTCGCTAATCTTCTTCGACGGGTCCGTGTTGTCAGTCTTAATGACTTTATGTTAAAATATATACTACCTATATGTATAGGTACACAAACGACTGAACACTGCCCGTGAAGTCCGCTGTTGATACGATGCGATATAAATTACATACTTAATTAACGACGATATACTCCGCGCGTATAGTTCGGTTATCAAGCGAACACTGACACTCCGCGTGCGCTCTACTTGTATTTATATCGACATTGGCCATAAGACTTAATCGTATTCGCGTGCCCAGTTGACCGGTTAATATTATTGGCTTATGGTCCTTTACACGTCATAGAGAAAGGCAACCGCTCGCGCAGCTGCTGCCTCTGAGTTTTTAAGGGGCGGCGGGTGAGTGAATAATGCGGCCAATGGGTGATAATAATTTAATGTTAACTAGTATTTATGTATTTGCTAATTACTACGACTGGTATTCAAAACGATTCAAATTTAAATTCACCATCATATTCATATGATGGTAAATTTGTTTATCAGGTTTTGGGTGTGAAGAATGTATTATTATACTAACCTCTGAAAATGTTCAAATTCATCACGCCACTGCTCACCTGTCAGAATACAGACTTGTCCGCAGAAAAATCGCGATCCAAATAATGTTTGATATTCACGTGCACAAAACTTAGTAATATAATGTAGATGAAGATAATAATCGTATTGTGTGTATAAAATCCACTGCAACCAGTTTTCGTGTAGGTATGTCACGAAGTCACGATCTTGACTTGACGAACACCGCATACCGGGTTAAGTTCGAGGTCACTCAGTTTTTACCATTCCCGCTCATACGTATATATTATAATAGTTCGTCTAGTGCAGAATCTCTGGCAATTTTACAGATTATAAGATTTTAATAAATAAATAATTAATTATTATAATTTGTAAATATCATAGCCCCCATATCTTTTAATTAAACTATAAGCATAGATAATTATCCTTAGTATCTGCATAAAGCTTGAAGACTCAGAAACTACTTTTTGAAATTTCGATTGCAAATTAATTTGAAAATAATAAGTTTATATCTCTACGGAATACTCATTAAACTGTATAAACAATGCAAGTAAGTCAAAATAAGATCCTGAAGTATACTTATTTCAAAATTCGCGTTATACTATATGTGATCGGTGTACCTACTCAAACAGCTGTACACTAAACGCAATTTAATTTAAATTAGTTTTAGGTAAATTTATTCGTTTTCTCATTTAAATTTCATGATTTAATATGTTTGTTAAAATATTTGAACGATAATTTACCAATTCAATGATATTCTTTCTTATTAAAACTATATTATTATAGATTTTATATATTTATTCATCACTGTTTTCAATTGTTATTTTTTTAACATAATACCATTGAGTATAGATAGTACTATCTATACTTAATTATAAATACACTATTTAACAATTTTAATTTTAGAGTGTTTTCATTTTTTTGTATAATTTAGTCGACAATACATAATATTGAAGTATTGTAATAGGTGTAAGTACTTATAGGAATAATAATATAATAATGTAAGTATAAATACTAAGTAGTATGTATTACTAATTAATAGGCCACAGATTTATATGTGTTTTTTTAAAATATTTTTTATACAACAATAATATGTTTATTAATATGTACTAAAAAACTCAAATATGTAATAATCAGTAATCACTAATGTGATTTATTTATTGAAATTATGCCTTATATGACCTAACCTAAATTATCTTAACAATTAAAAAAATATTTAAAATAAAAAATTGATATTAAATGTACATAAATATTTAATAACACATCTTGAATAAATTAATGAAACACATTTCGCAGTCTTTTCAGATTCAGTTGAACAGAGTTTCGACATGAATTGAGTAATATTATAGTAAATAAATAAATTGCTGTTCTACTCAACGCTTACATAAAACGAACAAACACTGACTAAACCATAAACCTGCATGTACCTACTACAGCTCGTCGAGCTCATAATCGTCAACTTTTCGGATATCTGCAAGAATATGAAGAATACAAATGAATTGATACTTCGATAACATATCTTGTATTTCATCTGATAAAATGTTATCTAGAAATAATTTGATAAAATGCTTAAAAGGATATTAGTCTAAACATGTGAGAAAAAATGGAATCCTTGTAAAATATGTAAGAACATGTATTTATCCTTTTTATCTTATCCATCACGAATTATGAAAAATATATAAAATGAAATATTGATCATTCAATTGAAAATCGTGTGAAACTAATCTACCAAGTCAAAGTCAAAATATGAATCTACGTATCAATCAGTGTCCTGCCAATTATATATTTTATTCCATAATATTATGATATGCGAATAGGAAGGAAATGCATATTCAAACATAATCACCATCAGTTTGCTGTAACGAAATTCATTCCTCCATGGACTGTATAAATTGGTTCTCACGACTAATTGATGACCTGTAGAAGAAGGCCTATTCCTCAAAACCTCAAAATCCTTATTAATGACCTTGTTCACTATAAAAAAAGTACTTTTTACTCGAAAGTTGACCCAATTACAGATAAAATACATATTTACGGTATATAATATTAATTCATAACACAATAATATCATATACTTCGATAATAGAAGGGGTCTGTGCAATTACCAGACAGCTCCATTTTTCAAAACTTTTCGAGGAACACAAAAAAACCTTCAGAGCTATCTGGTTTTTTAACGGAAAAAAACCAGACAGCTCCCAATTACATTATATTTCCTATATGGGTGGTCGGATTTGTCTTGTTACTGTACAGAAAGACTCATAATTTTTTGCTTTATCAAGTTCAATTAAAACCCGATTTTGAAAAAATATGGAGTTGCCTGGTTATTGCAAAGACTCCTTCTATAATTAATAATACAAAATGTATTAATAATTATTAATAATCATTCATTATTAATTTTCTTATCATCATATTATTTAATTAGAAATTATAGCTAATCATTATGCTTCCAAATACTGAACTCTTTGATACGATCAAAGAAATTTTCTATGCACTAAAATGATTGATTTTGTAAATCAAGTGATCAATTTATCAATCAATGTTATCCACTTATCTATAGATAATAAATCTAGATCAACATCACTCCTCGTTATCTATTAGCTATAATTATTCTAAATACAAATTCTATCGGCCTGGAATAAGTGTTTTCAACAATTTTGACAAAGCTCATTACTTTTGTATTTCTCTTGAGTTAATCATCTATGTTTGTTCCAAGTTATTAATGGGGTTATATCTTTTGATGAAATTATGAATGAGCTTTATGAAATAATATTTGGAATTATTAATAAATAATATGTTTCCAAATCTGAACACTCTAATTCTAAATGTCCTCCTTGATATTGTAAGGAGTAAGAACTTATTAACCTAATTCGTTTAAAAAATCTAAATCTGAAATCTGAAATTTAAGAACAAATATGTTACAAAGTATACTAGGATTACTAATTCTTCCTAGGTACTTCATCGATTTACAAATGTCAGTATTAAAGATTATATAGAAAATAGATATCTTAACGATGACATTATTACATAAGTACACTATTTTGTCACTTAAAAATCTCAACTTTATCAACAAAACTATTAGGTATAATTCATCAAATTATTTAAAAAGTTATATTTAAGTATCTACCTAAAGCAAGAACTACTGAGGTCTGAGAATTGTTATTCCGAGTAACACGGCGTAACATATAGGCAAAATAGGTACGTTACTGTGCAGAAGAACAATGGTAAAAATGAAAAATGTACTCATTGGCCATTGCAATACGGATTAAAGTGCTATTATATTTTGATTTGAGATTTCATCATGTTTTTTTTAAAGATTTTGTGTTGTAAGTC